ATGTTTTATGAATTAATTCCCGCCTTATGCTTTTGATTCAAATCTTATTTGTTTATATGACGAGCTTGTGCGCTTTGTTTTTAAATTTCTATTTAGTTGCTTGTGTTGAATATTTTAGCCTTAGTGCTACAATGTGAGGCTTATTGATTAATGAATGAGCCATCTGGTGTGGTGTAGCGGTGATACTCCGGCTTGAGCCAACCGGGTGTTACAAAATTGATTCATCCGTTGCCCACTCCGATGGTTGTGTGGGAGGATATTTTAATGGACTGGGATGGGATGTTGGTTGTGTGGCAAGTTTCACTATAATATTGTATACCAAAGTGCACGCAGTTGACTCTTTGAGGAGACAATATACCTTTTTGGAGGTGCTTAGGTTCCATTTAACTCGAGCACGATAGCGAATGGCAAAACAAATGGATAAACACCATCGCAATGTCAAGTTTAAGGTGGCAATAAAGTAGTTTTGAAGATCCGTTGACATTGGTGTGAACTGATATTGTTTCTTATATTCTGTTTATTAATGTGGACAAATTACATATATATAGACAATAGGTTAGGAATATCTAGGTTCTCTATTTAACACTTCTACAAGTTTCTATGACCACCTAACCACCTATTTCCTAGAACTGTAGTTATGTTGTGCATTCCCATAAACCTACTATGCTACACATTCCAATACACTTAACACTCCCCTCAAGTTGGTGCATAAATGTTAATCATGCCCAACTTGCTACAAAAGTGATTAACTCGAGACCAGTGTAGTGGTTTGGTGAAAAAATCAGCAACTTGGTCATTTGTCCGAACAAACTCTGTAGTAATTATATTTTTTTGTATCTTTTCTCGCACAAAGTGACAGTCGACTTCAATGTGTTTAGTACGCTCATGGAAAACCGGATTAAAGGCAATGTGCATGGCGGCCTGATTATCACAATAGAGCTTAGCAGGACTTGCAACTTCGACTCCGACTTCTTTTAGAAGTTGGATAATCCACATTATTTCGCATGTACCTTGGGCCATAGCTCAATATTCAGATTCTGCGCTGGAACGGGAAACCACATTTTGCTTTTTGCTTTTCCAGAAAATTAGATTTCCTCCAACAAATACACAGTAACCGCATGTGGACCTTTGATCTTCTTTAGAGCCTGCCCAGTCAGCATCTGTTGAACACTCTATCCTCATAAGTCCATGATTTTGGTATAAAATCCCACGACCTGGAGCCCGTTTTAGGTAGCATAGAATGTGCTCCACAGCCACCCAATTAACGTTAGTAGGAGAGGACATAAACTTACTGTCAACACTTACAGGGTATGCAATGTCTGGCCGAGTGACTCTAAGATAGTTTAGCTTCCCAACTATCCTCCTGTACCGTTCAGGATCTTTGAATGGTTTTCCCTCCTTTGTCAAGTGAGTGTTTGGAACCATGGGAGTGTTGCAGGGTTTTGCACCCAACTTTCCTGTCTCAGCCAGCAGGTCTAATACATATTTTCGTTTAGAGAGATAGATTCCTTTCTTACTCCTAAGGACTTCCACTCCGAAGAAATACTTCAACTTTGCCAAATCCTTTGTTTGAAACTGACTCTACAAATAACCTTTTAGTAATGCAATACCCATTGAGTCATTTCCAGTTATAATTATATCATCCGCATATACTACCAAAAGAATAACACGTGAATTGGACCATTTGTAAAAAATGGAGTAATCTGATTTTCCCTTCACCATACTATATTGTTCGAGAGCTTGGCTAAATTTGCCAAACCATGCACGAGGGCTCTGTTTTAGGCCATAAAGAGATTTTCGCAAGCGACAAACTTGTGACCGCTTATTCTCCCCCTGAGCAACAAACCCTGGAGGTTGCTCCATGTAAACCTCTTCAGTAAAATTGCCATGCAAAAAGGCATTCTTGACATCTAGTTGATGAAGCTGCCAACCATGTGTAGCAGCCAAAGATAAAAATAGGCGAACTGAAGTGAGTTTAGCCACCGGCGAGAATGTGTCAAAGTAGTCAATGCCATATACCTGTGCATATCCTTTAGCAACCAGACGGGCTTTCAATCTTGCAACGGAACCATCTGGAATCATTTTAATGGCAAACACCCACTTACAATCGAGCGGCTTCTTCCCAGAAGGTAGATCCACCAAATCCCATGTCTTATTCAGATCCAACGCATTCATCTCGTCTATCATGGCTTGACACCATCCAGGATGAGTAAGAGCTTTAGGAAGGGAAATATAATCAAGTGATGTGACGAAGAAATAGGCCGGAGGAAACAACTGATCATAGGAAATGAAGTTAGAGATAGGGTAAGTGCAAGAGCGAGTACTTTTACGAAGAGCAATCGGAAGGTCATCTAGTATTGTAGGATCTCGAAGATCAGAAGACTGGGTGAAAGGGGAATCTTCATGGAATGTGACATCTACTGACACTATATATTTCCCAAGGTTTGGACAAAAACACCTATATCCCTTTTGGACGCCAGAGTAACCCAAGAAGACGCATTTTAATGATTTTGGGTCAAATTTAGTAACATGTGGACAGATATCTCGGACAAAACATGGACAACCAAATTTTTTTAGGGACAATGGATAAATAGGTTTGTTGGGAAAGATAATGTGACAGGGTGACTGACCGTTAAGAACAGAGGACAGCATCCGGTTAATGAGGAAGCAAAGCGGTGGAGATAGCATCGGCCCAGAAATGTTTGGGGACACTCATTTGAAACAGAAGAGCTCTAGCTGTTTCAAGTAAGAATTTATTTTTCTTTTCGGCTACACCATTCTGGGCTGGAGCGTCAATGCACGAAGTTTGGTGTATAATTTCATTTTGTTTCATAAAAGACTTGAATGACTCATATAGATATTCTTTAGCAATGTCACTCTGTAGGATTTTGACTTGGAGATCAAACTGGGTACGAATCTCAACACACAAATTTTGAAAATGTGAACAATTTTGACCGATGTCGCATGAAGAAAATCCAAGTCATTCGAGAATAATCATCAACAAATGTAACAAAATATTTAAACCCTTGTTTAGACGAAACGGGATATGGACCCCAAACATCCGAATGATCACAGTCAAAGGAGCCTGGACACCACTAATCTCCCTAGGACGCAAATTGACACGATGATTTTTAGCAAACTGACATGATTCACAATTGAACGAAAGAAAATTTCGGAAACTAAGACACATTACTTTCATTTTCTGAAGGGAAGGGTGACCTAACCGACAATGAGCTTCAAAGGAGGTTCCAGTACATAGGCAGGTGATGGGCTTGCGGATTGAAGTGTCAAGGGTATACAATCCGCCTGACTCATATCCCTTGCCAATCATCTTATTCGTCTCCAAATTTTGGAAAACACAATAACCAAGAAAGAATTTCACACTACAGTTTAGGGCACGGGTGATTTTACTAACATAAATTAAATTAAAGGAAAAGTTAGGTAGGTTCAAGACAGTGGATAATGAAATGGCTGGTCTAATATCTATTGTTCCTAACCCAACAACTTGGGTAGTGGATCCATCTCCAAGGGTAACTGGGGATTGAGAATAATGTGATTGATAAGTCGAGAAAAGGTTAGGATTACCTGTCATATGGTCTGTGGCTCTTGAATCAATGACCCAAGAGCCGGAGTATGTGACGAGACATGTACTGGAGTTACCTGCGGTGGTCATAGTTGGGATAATAGTAGATGAATGCGCTTGGTTCTCTTGAGACATGGATAACTTAGAGTTCTGACCTTCCGAAGAGGCTGGGCGAATTGATCCTTCTGTATAGCAAGCTGCAACTTTCTACAATATTTCTTAACATGCCCTAACTTCTTGCAGGAGTGACATATGATGTCCGGGTTACTCTTATATGTTCCTTGTCGATTTTCACCTTTGAATGGCTTGTACTTTTTCTTCTCACCAAGGCTCCACTGGAAAAGACTGGATAGGGGTCGGTTCGGAGGACTCTAGAGAATATATCCTGTAGAGAAGTCATTTCAGAGCTACTCAGTATTTGAGATTTCGCTAGTTCATACTCACTTCGCAGACCCGCCAAGAAACTCATAATGGCCATTTGTTCTCGTTGCTTTTGTTGTTCTCTAACATCGGCATAAAAAGGCATGAGTTAATTTCTTTTTGAAGTCCATAAAATAATTCAAAGAGATTTGTCTGTCATCTCAGCCCGATAAAATGCCTTGCACACATCGTATATTCGGGTAACATTCCCTTTGCTCGAGTATAATAACTCCAAATATTGAATCAAGTCCTTGACAGTATTGTAGTGGCTCACCAAACCATAGACCTCTACATCGATCGAATTTCTAATCTGCAGGAATAACCTTGCATCATCCCGAAGCCATGCCCTCCTCTCTTTTTCACCAGTAGGTGGGTCCTCCTCCAAATGATCATCCTTCTCAATACTTAGTAGGTATAACTTCACAGTTTTGCTCCACTCCAAATAATTCGACCCATTAAGTTTATAATCGGTAAGTTTGGACGTAACTGGAGCAACTTCAGAGACAAAAATAGATTTGTCCTCACTCATTATCGATTAATAGCAGAACAACTTGGAAGCTACAGCACCAATCTAAAAATTGACAGTCTGGAATTGTTGCTAGTACGCTGAACCAGTAAACAAATCTGGGTTCCCCACTAAAAAGAGAATCACACCCACCGGAGCAAAATCTGCTCCCAGCCGCACCTATTTCCTAGAACTGTAATTATGTTGTGCATTCCCATAAATCTACTATGCTACACATTCCAATACTCTTAACAATTGGAAAGTTCCATGTGCGCCGGCTTACACTTTACATAAGTTAGAGCCGCAATTTTATGGGCGTTTTAGGTAGAGAGGCGGTGTATCGACTTAACTATTATTTTCACCTATAAATAAAAATTCCCTAACATTCTTTTAATTGTTCTATTCTTTTTTTATATTGTTAAAAGATACCACATGCTCAGTCATATATTCTTACCGTTCCTAATTATTAAATTTTCTTTTTATGTGGTTAAGATATAAAATTCTGCGGTCACATTATATACAAGAGAACTATGGAAGAGATGGAAAGAGCTGCAATGGAGCTTCTAGCTTTTGTGGAAACTAAGAAAAGAGAAGATGGCCAGTGTGTCCTTGGTCTGGATATTGAGTGGAGGCCAACCTTCAAAAGAGGTAAATCTGTTGTATAAAAATATGGTTTGACAAGAATGATAAGTAGCTGGAAATCATGAAATAATTTCTTTTGTGACTATAATCATGAGTTGAAACTGACAGATAACTGGCAACAAGACTTTTTTTTTCTCAATTAGCTTTTTCATGTCATGTGATAAAAAAAATTGTTATTGGAAATAGGTTATGTAATTTGTGAAAATTATCCTTCTGTGGTCTCGAGTTTTACATGATTGCTCAAGTCTTAATCTAAATAGGATACATGGTCAATCTGTTATGGAGACACTCTTTTGCTGTTATTATTGGGCTTTTAAGTAACCTGAGAGTGCCAAAGTCATGCTATTGATGTTTGCTAAAATTGCTGTGGTGGGAATTTACTATCCCATGTCTGTAAGCTGTATGAATGTATTTGGGGTGTGTTTGTTTGGGGGTTTGGATTTTGAGTTGGGGTTTGAATAGTAAAAATTTTGAATTTGAATAGTTGTATGATGTAATATAAATAGGTGTTATGTGATGTTTTGAATGTAAAATTGATTTTTAGTATAATATAAAAAGTGAAAAATATGTATTTGATTTGATGTTTTTGGGAGAAAAAAATGGGATGAATAGTGGATTTAAAATCCAATCCCCCAAACAAACACACCCTTGGTGTCCTCATTGAAACAAGATGGGTGTTTTGTCCCTTATTATTTGCTGCTGTTAAATTTCTGGTGTTTTATAAATGTTGAGCTGTAATATTTATGCTCAGAAGTTTTAACAAGAGGAGCTTTTAATTGCTACAATGCTAAATTTTTGGTTGGATTTTAATCTTCTATATGTTTAATCTACATCACTTCCTCACTAGTGACATTTCGATGCTTTCTTTTAGGGTATTGTATCTTTTGTTGCCACACTGCCACAGTTTATGATAAATTTTCTCCTTCTATTGATTAGAATTCTACTTCAACAATTGGTAACTGTGGATTTCTAGTGGTTGGTAATGACAAAGGCAACATGACAGGCTCCGCTTGAGCTGTTATTTCTGTTGATGTGGTTGTGCCAATTATATAATTACGATAATTCTAGAATAAACTTGAAAATCCCGAGAAGATAAAACCAATACCGAGAAAAATACACTTGACTTCTGCCCAGCTTGGACCAGTATACCTTGACAGGTGGAGTTTACTTCTTTACTGACAATTCTAAGTATCCTCACAAAGTAAAAAAATATAATGCGGAAACAATGATGTAGTCGTTTTTCTCTTGTTTTTTATTTCCTCTTTTTTTTTTTTTTTTTTTTCCTGGGAAGTTTTACCAAAAAGTACAACAAAGTGATGGAGGTGGAAGTAGTGGAATTCTGCAACTTGAAAACTGGTGAACTTGAGAAAAATTGTTGAATCAAGCTTCTAAGTAGATGCTAAATATGTTCCACTTTATTTGTTCACACATCGAGATATGTTACAAACAGTTCATTTCCAAATTTAGAATAGAAGCTTTAGATACATGCTTGAGATTGGGAAAAAAAAAAGAGAAGAAATGACCCATAAATCTTGTCTTTTATAAGAGAAATGATGGTAGGACTCGATTCCAAGGAATCACTTCGACCTAAACAACAATGTTCTGTTTGCTGGGATGATGTACTACTTTTAGCACCCTAATAAAGGGTATGGATACAGAAAATTTTGCCAAATTAAGTGAAGCTATAATTGCAAATATATGCAGGTGTTGCCCCTGGGAAGGCTGCAGTTATGCAGATATGCGGGGACAGTAAATGTTGCTTTGTCTTTCACATTTTTCATGCTCAAATAACCAGAAGTTTGCAGTATCTTTTGGAAGATCCCACTTGTCAGAAGGTGGCCTGCTTAGAATTCTGTGGTCTTTTATTAGAACTCTAATTAGTATTATTATTTTTTTCCCATAAAATATTTGTGGTTAAGTTATTTTATTGTACTTGCATAGGTGGGTGTGGGCATTGCTAATGATGCTTCTAAGGTTTTCTTTGATCATAATGTATCAATCAGCAACTTGGAGGATCTCAGTGATCTAGCCTGTCGAAAGCTTGGTGGAGAAGCCAGAAAGTGGAGTTTATCATCTTTAACTGAAATGATCATCTGTCGAAAGGTATTTGAACTTGTCAGGAATATAATTATTTTAAAAATATTCCAATGCCATAATGATACATTGATGAAACACTGAGATGCTAAGCAGTGGACCACTTGGACCATTTTGTCAAACCAATTTTTGCTGTCTTCTACTCATCTCATTCGTGATAGATAATGTGGTATCTAGAATGCATGCATGTTGATTAATATATTTTCTGATGATATTTCCTGTATCTAGGGAACTGTCTCAATACTTTTCTTATCTAAAAGGAGTTTGACCACTTGCACACCAGGTTCCAAGATTTTGAAACAAAGATGCATGGTGGCATATGTAATAGTTGATAATGCCTTACATCTCTGTTTGTTGGTCTGTCTACCCCAAGCTACTGAGGCTATTTGCCTATCTGGTTGACATAATCTAAGTATGAACCTCTAAAAGAATAATGCATTAGGAATCATGGAGCTTGAGCTTTTACATACAGGAATTTTTTAAGTGTTGATTGTGTGCTGCAGCTGCTTCCTGATGCTGGTACCTAGTTGCAGCTAACATGAGTGAGATGCCTGAGTTCAACAATTATTTTGTATCCAGCTTGGTGGATACATGCCACGGCTGCAGGATAGTCTTTTTAAAACATGCAGGTCATAGGTTGCTAACTCCTGAGTTTTGACAATTCCAAATTTTTGTTGTTTTTGTTATTGTTGTTGTTTCTATCACTGCTTCTTGTGAAATATTTATCCAGGTTGATATTCTTGGAAGAAAAGTTCTTTTCTTTCATGATAGGGGAAATCAGCAATAGTGAGCAATGATGGGCATCTCTTGTTGCATCTACTTGAAAGTCCTTAACACCTGCTGATTATATTTTGTATTAGTATTGACTTTTGAACCCTGCTGTGGGAAAAGTGGTTCCATGAAGTTTAACTGCAATAAATCCTTATACAGAAAATTGAATTTTGTAGCTTCGCAAGCCAAATAAAATTAGACTAGGAAATTGGGAAGTGGCATCTCTATCAAAGGAACAGCTAGACTATGCAGCAACTGATGCATATGTGTCTTGGTACCTGTATCAGGTAAATAACAACTATAACCTCTCAGAATTGGATGTTATCAATTTCTTGTGGCTTTGCTGAATTTTTTTACTGAGCCAGTTTCCTATACCAGGTGCTGAAAACATTTCCAGATCCTGCTGAAACCAACAGTGAGCAAATTGCCGCAACTCGTGAATGATTCAAAATCATTATTTCTGCTAATTCATGCTCATGTTTTTCAGTTGTGTTCTCCAGAAGATATCTGTTGATTAAGTTCTCAACCATCAAGTACTTATCATATTAAAGATACATTTACTAATTTGAAATTCTCTATGATAGTGAGAAACCATGTTATAAGAGTGTTTGCTGCTAGACATGACTTTCCAACCACCAGTAACTTTGTTGTTTATTTGAGCACATTTGGATTGAAAGCTCCAAATTCATAGAATTTTAACAAATCCCTTATACTTTATTGTATGATAATATTTTATGATGTTGATGTATTTTTAAGTATACAAATTTAATCTCAAGCTAAACTATCAAAAGCTAATGTAAATGAAATATAAGAGAGATATAAAGGCAACAAATAATATCCATGAATCACTTTTTCCTGAAAATTTATGCTATTCTCGGTTCATTTAATTAGTTTTTTACATTTTATCACCCTGTTAAAGTGGGTGATTTAAGCAGGTTTTGCGAATTTAAGACAAGGAATCCTTTCCAACATTTAACGCATTGTACCTCTGAAAGGTGCAGTTCTGAAGATGTGCAACGACAATACTGTTGTTTGTGTTTCGCATTTTTCATTCACAAATATCCATGCAGTATTCTCAATCTCAAGCATACTGCTTATCAGATGGTGTGTGCTAAAATTTTTATTAGCTGTTGTTTTTTATACATCTTAAATCTTAATGGTTTATAGGTTGATGGGTACGTGCATAGGTAGGTGTGGCAATTGCTACTGATGCTGCTAAGGTTTTGAAAGATAATGCATTGGTGTCAACCACATGGGGGATCTAACTGTTCTTGGCTTTAAGCCAATCAAATAAGCTTGGTAGAAAACTTAAGAAGCGAGTTCATCAACTTTAGGTGAAATTTACATTTGTGGGAAGGTTCTTTAGAATTCTTAGGAACATATAATGAACAACTTTGAGATAATGAACAACTTTTAGATATTCTTCTGTCTTAATTAGTGATCATATAAAGCATTCTGATTTGTGATGCCAGAGCAATGAACCACTTGCAGTATTTTGTTGGAGAAAATGCTATGGCTTTCTTATGCTGATCTCATATGTTCCTCGAATTATATTTCCCGGACTGCTATCCACTACTTAGTTCCTGGAATGTCTTGACTGTATCATTTACCTTAACCTTGGTTAATTTAGCCTTTTGTAGATAACATGAGTTAGATCGAAACAAATGTTCCTAGTTACTTTGTTATTGAACTTCAATTTCACACATTGTTTCATGCTTGTTTCTTTGATTGAACTGATTCTACTGTTTAGGAATCAACCTTGAAATTGCATGCCTGTAATTTATTAAGCTGCTTAGAGATGTGGAATCTCTGACAGAGCTGGAGTAATTGAATAACCCTTCTTTGACTTGTGGGATCTAACTGTTCTTGGCTTCTAGCCAATCAAAATCCTTATCCAAGTTCAAGTGATATTCTGGTATCTTTGTTATAACTTTGCTTTACCAGTGCTTTTGTAGGATTTTAGAACACATGTATGGCAGCATCTTTCTGTTACCCATGTTTTACATGTCTATTCCAGTACTCCAGTCCAGGGCCTATGAGGTTATCGGGCATTTATTAAAACTTCAGTCCTGAATATGTAAATCAAATCTGTTAAGAGGCTGACAATTTTTGTAGAGTATTACAGTGTGACGCTAAAAGTATTCTGACTGACATCAGCTTGTTACTTGATGTTAATAGTATGGATTGATTGCATTGCGGCTTGATGGACACAGTCTAGCAGGATTGTCTGTCTGTGATGTATGAAATGTTTGTTACAACATTTCAATGTTCCGATAATGTCCCGTTGTTATCTATCAATGTGAAATGCTTGTCCAGAAGATATTCCTGTACATAAGACAGTTACATTTTTTCTTTCATGAAAAGAGAGTAGAGTTAAAGTTAATAATATTGGTAATTTCTTGCTGCATCCCTTTTTATCAAATCTGCTATTCTATTCTTTTGACCTCATTTTTCTGGCAAAGTGACATTCCATGAGGTTTCTGTGCAGAAATAAATGTTGACTGAGATAATCTGGACTTTGGTAGCATTGAAGATTTAAGTATGTTGGTATCTCCTCCTCCATCAGGTACCCCCACCCCCTCTGATACATGTAGATATATTTTCTGTCACTCAATTTGTACTCAAGTATTTGTGTTATGAGGTGAGGAGCACTTGCAAGCACAGTGATGGTTATGGTTTGAAAATATGAATTGATAGGAGGAGGTAAAGCACATGCACATGCACATGCACATGTTGAGAACATCATCATCAGCATCACTTTATAATTAATATGCATAATTTGATTGATGGCATAAAACACACCAAATTTGTTGTTGATTATTGTTATTTCTGTGGGCATTGAGTGTAGGGCATGTGCTCCCCAATTCCCTTAAAACACTTGCACACACCCCATACGCTAGGCTATGGGATAGAGTTAGGAGAATGGAAGAAGAATGTGACATTGGAAAAGGAGAAATATATTAAAGTTTGGGCGTGGGTAGGGTAGTAGGGTGCATAAAAAAGGGTCTCTCTCTCTCTCTCTCTCTGCATGTGAGTGGGGTCCTTCCCCATTAAATGAAGTCTCACTCAATCAAATGATCTTAATCTTGTGTGGACTGGACTGATATGATATTAAGGGAATTGTTGGGGGGGGGGGGGGGGGGGGGTTTTGGGGGTTGCCTATGGGTATGGTATGGTATGGTATGGGATGCCCTTTGCAAATGGGCACAGTTCTAAAGTAACAGCTTCCCACTTTCTCATTGCATCTCACCTTTACAATTTGTTTCTTAACAATTTTCCCTTTTATGCTTAATCAGGAATCAATTTTCCCTTTTAGGCTTAATCAGGAATGTGTTTGGTTTTTATTTGAATTTGAATTTTTGATTTAAAATTTAGTTTAATATTATTTTAATATGATATTCTACAAAAGTAAATAATGTATTTTTACTGAAAATTAGTTAAATTGAATAATATAGATTTAGGTTTGAAATAAAAACAGATAAACAGACTCCAATGACTATGTGTGTTAGTGTATTTATTAAATATTGGATATAAATGTTATTAGATTATTTACATTGTACTAGTCCAATAAAGCAGACTCTATATCGTTATAAAAAAAATAAAGCAAACTCTCAATAAATATACATAAAATTTTGATGTACATAGATTGTGCACATTTTATGATGAATTATGCAACGAAAGTTTAAGTGCAGCATTTTATGTATTTATGTTAAAATATACATGCCATATATCTGTCAGTAATCTCAATTTTATTATGTCATCAAGTTTTTGTTTTGGGATTAATATAGGTTAACTATTTATAAGATCTGGACAAATTGCTTTATATGTTTGATGAGTATGTTTGGCAAAAATGTCAAGAGGTTTGATCATATGATCTCTCGGTTACGAGTCCATTTTCAACACTTTTCGGGACTATATACTATTTGTATTTTCATATATGGATTGTTACTTTGGCTTTCGTTACTATCACGCATATATTTGTTTATTGATCACTTATCCAAAACATTTCACTAGGATATTTTTTGGAGTGTAATGTTGATTTCTATGGTCAAATTAAAAATTCTAATTTTTTTGGTCCATAATTGACAACTTCATTCAATAGTGTATGATGACAAAGGACAATTATTTGGCAAGGTTGGACCAATGAGATTATAATATACCAATCAAAATGTAAATTTTTTTAGTATAAAACGTCCCACTCTAATCCTAAATTAATTTCGCATCCTAACAACTTTCTCGTAGGACTCTATGGATAAAATATACTTTATAATTTTTATTTTTTTTTTTATGACGCGGGAACTGCAGTCGCTACCCGAAAGTGTGCATTGGGTAAATCCAACCATGTGTGGCAAGGTTTAAACCCATGACCTTACGGTCACAAGTCCAACTTCTACACTACCAAGCCATCCTTTAAGGGGACAAGATACTGAAGTCTTTTATTTGACGGCAAGATGGACAATCTTCATGGTTAATAAATAATTTTCTTGTATCCATTCCAAAAAAAATATATAAATTTGATCTTGTCTGTGTCTGTCGATCGACACACATATATATATATATATTAAAATTATTATTTTTTTAAACATATTATTATTATCAACAAAAGTTGTTCATACTCTTACAGCGCCGCTACTGTCGATAATTGGCTTGAAGAGAGCTGTAAAAAGACAGTTTTACCCCTGAGCGGCTCTCCGATATTACAACCGCTGTGTAGAGAAAAAACTGCGGGCTGCCGACAATCTCGGCCGTGGGGTACACGCGCGGAAGACAGGTTTGGATGTCGTTTCATGAGGTTTTCATACTGAAAACGACATTGGTCGGTCAGCTGCAATGCATTCATATCATACACACACATATATCCCATCCAATAATTTAATTATTTGGCATCAATTTGATTTCACAGAATAATAAGTATATATATAAAATTGGAAGAATAGTATACGTTGAATTTGATTTAAAATTATACCTTAAGCATTATATATATTTTTTAATTTATTGAATCATAGAAAGATAACTTTTAAAGATGGTATATATATATATGCTATAAAAGTTATACATGAAATATATATATATATATATTAAGGAAACAGTTAGAGTGATCAATACTAATCAACTTGTTGATTAGTTTCTAACTAGCAAATAAAAAAATTAATTAGACGAGATATTTTTTCCTATCAATTTATATTTCATATATTGTCTATATATTATATATTTGACGTCTGTGAGTCCCACACAAATTATTTTTTTTAATAAAAAAAAATATGCTAAAATATAGTTAATAATTTACCATAAATATTATAGACTTATAATTGATATAATTAATAAAATTTATTCATTATTATTATTATTATTATATAAAAACACATTATTATGTCCTGGATAACCATCTATTTTTTCTCATTGTTTTTATTTTTA